GGCCGGGCTGGGCCCCGGGGCCGCTCCCCCGCGGCGCCCCTCGCCGCCCACGGGAGCCCGTCCTCCGGCGCGGGGGAAGGGCTGTTTACTAGGAAACTTCCCGGCGAGCGGCGTGGAGGCGGCTTTCCCCTCGCGCGCTGGCCGCCGGGGCTGCGGGAGTCCTAAGGGAGCCGCCTTGGAAACCGTGGTCCTGTCTTCGCCTCAGGGCCGCACCTGCCGGCGAGGGGCAGCGCTGGGCCCCGGCCCTTTCCTGGCGGAGGAGCATGTGCCTCGTGTCTAGACCTCGGGAGGTGTTTTTAGAGAGGAGGCAATTCTGCGGGCACGACCAGGCCGGGAGTAGGAGGCGGGTGCAGCCCTCATGATAGGTGCGAGGGTTTTTTCCAACATAACCTGCTTTTCAGGATGGCACGTACCTTCCTTGCCAGCCCTCGTGCTCCAGGGTGGAAATGCAAACTCTTCGTTTCAGATGCAGGAGGAGGGGAAAAATAAAAAGTGTTAGAGTTGCAAATCTTAGGCATGCTGATTTACAACGTTGTTTGGATGAAGGGGCTGTAGGGTCTCTTGGTTTGCCTTCAAGCCCTTTTTAGAAATAAAAAATAGCGTGGTTTTATTTTAAGAAAGCACAATGTTGTTGATTCATGCTGGCCCAGGAGCCCTCAACCCAGCTGTGGCTTATGTAAAGAAGGTAAAGAAATTCAAGGATAGAGAGGCACAACATGCACCTTGTTTTCTTCTCTTTGTAAGCACAGTTCAGTTTTAAGTAAGCTCCCCCACCCCCCAGTCCTGCACCTGAATGTGTAGGAGCAGTGCCCCCTGCACTGGGCACCCAGAGTACTGTGCCCATCTACCCATGTGAGTATTTGTCGATGAAACTGTTCCCCAATACGGTTTTTTTCTGGGTGTCTGCCTGTATATATGCATATGCTGAATGTGTGTCAAAAGACCACTCAGTTGTAATGATAAGTTGGAAGATTGCCTTGCTGCACTGGCACCACCCATAATGGGGAAACTTTAAAAAATGCATTTGGAAAAACTCATTAGCTTGTAAATGTGAACGTCTTTCTCTTTGCTTGTCCTTGATCTCAGGCAGTGTAACAACAGGTTTGATTTAATTTGGCCTTGTTGGATCCTTACCTAGTGCTTTTTCCTGCCACATAATTATTTTTCCTCTAACCTGTCACAGTTGGGTGTTGCCCTATTGTTTAGTATGGCTGCACTTGCATTATCTTACTTAATTAGTTGGGCAGTTGACTTAGACCCCTGAGTGTTAATTCACCTTTCTGCCTTGGCATCTGAACCTGTAGGCAGAGCCTGATGTTTAGTAGGCAGCCTACTTAATTGCTCTAAAACAAAGAGTCATGATGTCAGGTCTGATTCTGCAACCAAATAATGATTTGATATAAACTGTCAGTAACATAGGACAGGAAACAATTCAATATTTAGTGTTTCAAAGTTTACCATGAGGCAGGTCTCTACTCAGTGTGATGAATAATACAAAATGACAAAGAAATATGTCACAAAGCTTCAAATGTCTGAATAGTGTTTACTTTCCAGCTTCCCCATGTTGTATAGAATCTGGTCACACAGTTCCCATAGAATTTTTTTGAACCCAGAGTTGCAGTGTTGCAGCCCTGGCTACTTGCCCTGCAGGCTGCATGCCATGCTGTGCGAGTTCCCCCCAGCTGCACCACGTAGGCCCCGGATATATCATGTGAGCCCTCTTGTACCACATGGGTGCCTGGCCCTTTAGATTTGCTGTACCATGAAAGCTTCCTGCACATGCAGATGTTCTGTGCTACATAGCTCCCTCCCCCGCACGCACCATCCTTGTCCCCTGCCATGGAGTTGGGGGACCTACCATTGCATCACACTGGCATAGATGCTGCACAGGTCCCTTCTACCAAGCGCTCCGGCCCCAGGCTCCCTCAGCCCTATATGCTATGCTGATCCTCCCCCACCCCCAGAAGTGGGGACAGGTGGTGGAAACTAAAGGATAAGGAAGAGCCTGGAGACTCCAGCAGCAAGCTCAAAAAGGAAAGGGTGAGCAGTATGTGAACCAGGGGTTGCAGTTTAACCTCTCGGGGGCTACCAGTTGGACAGCCCTGTTGTAAAGAATGAGGCTTTCTTTTCAGAAAGTACACTTAATAAGAAAAAGTGCTTCAGTAGCTCTAGTTAATTTTGTCATATTTGAAATGGAGCTGGTAGAGGCATCATTCTTCTGTCCAGCATTCTCTGGGGATGTTGTTCTGTCATTACTAGTGTCAGCAGAGGAATACATTTTGTATTCCGGGCTGCATAATGTTATTAATGTCTAAACCACCTTGCGCATGTTTGGAGCTTTATACAAATAAGTAATTTCCCAGCCCGAAAGCATTTTTAATCCAGTGAGCCAAAATAGTTGAGTGGCATAAGAATGGATAAAAACACTTCACTCACACATCATAACTTTGCATTTCTCTGTCATTCTTACCTTGTCTATAGCATCTGTCCTGAATCCTTCCTTGCTTCTGCCTGCTCTTTTAACAACGCTAGCCTCACGTTCTGCTTCCTTGGGTTCCCTAGTAGTCGGAGTTGAGTACCTCCAGGTTATATCAAGAAAAGGTTTAAGCAAAAGTACCTGAGAAGTTAGAGAGAGGTTCCCTGAGTTTATAAGTGTCACTGTGCAAAGATGGTGGGGGACCCATTTTCTCCTGCCCGTTTTCAGCATTTGTGTTTATTTTGGAAGTAAATTTCAAAAGTTTCAAACACAACTTACTTCTAAAATCCACTGAAGATACCCAAAATAAACTGAATAAAAACTACCTCAGGACAGAAAATTGCCATATAAACCTTTTATCAAATGAGAGGCTGATTTTATTTTTTCCTCTTTATATTCCCTTTATTCTAAATATAATGTGGCTTACCGTTTAATTTTCTTCTATATTTTTTGGTATCAAAATAGCTTAAAGTAGCTATTTGTTTGACTATCTTAAGTCGTCTTATGTTGTATAAGAACCTAAATTATAAGCCTTTGAATGAGTAACTTTTAGAATGCTGAAAGATAATTACAGTAAGAAAATATGGTGACCGATTGATAATGGGTTACTGTACTGGAATAGAAGCATCTCTGTTTAATGGCTAGAATGTAGTGATCTTTTCAAATTCCTGTGTTTGCTGAGCAGCTGCATGACAATATTCAGCTTTTAGAGTTCTTTTGTAACTTTGTATTTCATTTTAAATTGACAAGGCCTTTGTCAATGGCATTATTATGCTGGTGGGGATGTTTTAAAAGACTAGTCGTACTTGTCATTCTTTCCAGACCTAAATGCATATGCTAGTTTTTTAATTCAGTTTTAACAGAGGGGGGTATGTTTACATCTACGAATGAGTGTTTTTTTACTACATGCATTTTAATAAAATTAATTTAAGATGCATTTGTTCAAATGTCTTAATTATTATAAATTACGCATAAAGATTTACAAAAATAATTTTAATTCCTAGTTTCTATGAATATAGTGGAGACCACTTTTAAGAAATCTGGCCCATGGTTTTCCCCCATGCTCTTACAAGGGAACTAGCCAGTGGTTAGTTCTTAATTTCTGTCTGTCTTGTTAAACCAAATAGTGTTAAGCCTGAATGTAATAATCTCCAAAGAGCTATCTGCTGTCCTTCTTCTAGCTTTCATAGAATCATAGAAAGTTAGGGTTGGAAAGGACCTCAGGAGGTCATCTAGTCCTCTTGACAGAATTTGAGAATTTCCTTCTTTAATAATTTCCTTCTGTATTTCTTTCATTGAGCAACTCAAAAATAACATTTTCCATGTACTCAGTTTTCTGGGGTCTACAGAACACCCCAAAGCATATGTATCGTTCCAATTAGTGGTGCACCGATACATTGGTCCGATATCGAATTGGCACTTATATAAAGAAAATTGGCTGCATCGGAAATCAGTCTGATGTAGCCGGTAAATGGTCCGTTCGTGTACACAGCTGCAGCACAGCACGTAGGCGGCAAGGAGAACAGCCCGGCAGCTTGGAGAGCTGCATGCAGCTGGTAAGTCTGTTGTGGTGGACAGGGAGGAGGGAGGAAAGGGGTGTGTAGAGGCAGATCAAGGCCCCCACAGTGAGGGAGGGAGTGGGGCTGGGGCAGGTGCTGCCTGGATGGGGCACGGGATGGAGCTGCAGCTCATCTGGGGGTGGGGCAGAGGTTGACTCCTGCTGCTGCGCACACCCCAGGAAGGCATGGGGTGGGAGGGACATGTTCCCCCAGATCAGGGTGGGGTGGACTACAGCTGCAGACTGGGGCCGTGGCTGTGCTGGGCTCTTCCAGGCAGGGGTGCTGGGCTAGGTTGCACTCGGGGTGGGCAGTGAGAACACTGGGAGGGGGTTTAGGCAGGGGGGCTATGATTAATTTTGGGATGGCTGCAGCCCCCCCATGTAGCCCCACTCCCAGTGCTGCCACTGCCCACCCTGAGCACAGCCTGGGCCAGCCCCTGCCAGGAAGAGCCTGGCGCAGCCCTGGTCCCAGCCTGCAGCCGCCCTTC